GCTGAACCTCTTACTGACACACTGAAATGGCTCTAGAGGTAGATAGAAGTCACTGAGCAACTGTGTGTGTGTGAAAGCGGGAGAAAGTATATCAGTGCAGCAGTTGCTTTGGCTATTTTGTATGAATGAGCTTGCAGTCTTTTTAGACTCCCCAGCTTCCTGGTTAACCATCTGGTTCCTCAACCCCCCCCCCCCCCCCCTAGCTGAATTGTCCATGGTTCCTTGTTTCTTAGGGGATGTCAAATATCGCTCATGGGAGGGAGAAGGGGGGAGCATCAGTCGGCACCAATGCTAATTTAAGCCCCTGTAGCTCTAAACTAGTTAATTAGCTCGATCTCCTACACAGAGAGAAAGTTCCTTTGTCAGTGGTTTTTTCCATTCATCACAATCCAACTCTTTTATTCTGTACCACTGCCAACTATCAGCTTATGAAATTAGCAGAAAAAGCTGAATGTGGGGTTTATAAAAAAGCCTCCATCCACACATAACAGACTATACCACTTTAACTAAAAAAAGCTGAGAAAATAAGTATAATTAGAAGCTGGATGTAAAAACACTCCAGAGCTTCTGACCATATGCTGCATGCACAGCTTCACCTGATGAAGTGTGAGACGATAAAGTTTATTTTGTTTAGACATACAGTGAATTCATTGATTTGTTCTGATCAATGTCTCTTACATATTTATGAAATATTATTATCAGATTCTATCTTATTGCAGCTGTCTGCCACAAGGGAATAGTGTGTTGGTGTTGTGTGTGCGTGCGTGTGTGTCTTATCAAACCAACTCAGCATATAATGAGAGCATCTCACATATATACATATACATTCAATATGTACATCAAAAACATTTCAACTTTAATTCACACTAATCCATCTGTCAGGGCTGCACACTGACTCTGTGCACAGAGACAAAGTGATCATATCCTCTAGTGATGATGAAACGAAGGTGTGTGGCGCTACTTCCGCTGAGCTAAAAGAAAAAAACACAACCACAGGGAGCAGTTACTGTATCTAATAATCTGATAGCTTGTGGTATTTGGTATAGCTTCATTAAAATTTTGACTCACTGAGAGAGCATTTGACTGAAGATGTCCTTCTGTGTTTTCAAACTCTGTCAAGAGAAGCAGTGGTGAGCCAGTGATTTCTGAATTTGAAGGGATAAAGAGTAGATAGGACAAGACAATAACAAATGGAGAAAATTCAAAAGGAAAGAAAAGTAGGGAGGAAGGACGAAACAAAGAAAAGAAAAGAATGGATAAGAAAAAGAAGGAAGAAAAGAAGGAGGGACGGAAGGAAGGAAAGAATGAGGGGAGAAGAGAAGGAAGGAAGAAGGAAGGGAGGAAGGAAGGAAGGAAGAAAGGAAAGAAAGACAAATCAAAGGAAGAAAGGAAAAAAGATGAATGTGTTTGTTCACCTTTCTCTGTGCCAAACTCAAACTGGGAGGCACTCTGTGTCGTGTTCTTCTCTATCTTCAAGTGTTTGACTAGAAACAAGAATGGCACTGATGACATTGGTTCATACAATAAAAACACATCATTTTTGATTTTGTGGGAAAATTAAGGCCAAGAGCAAACTCTTTGTGCACAGACATATGAACCAATTCATCCTGAGAATAATCACAATTTATGTACTGCAATGTAGAAAATGTTCACAGCAGTTGGTAAATTGTTGAATTGATTGCCATGAAATTTGATGCATCCAAATTCCCTCAGCTCAACCTGCAGTCACTGTTTCCCATTTTCAACCCACTTCCTAGATTCATGTTTTTAACAGTTTGAGCGAATATAAACAAAATGTGTTGACCTTACATTACAATTTAAAACACTTTACATAAACAACAAAGGAAACTGTTTTCAAATGGATATAATTCCATACACATTCAACACTATGATAAAGTTAATCATACACAGGAAAATATAAGTGTTTCTGTGATCATATTTTAAGGGAGATATTTTATTCAATATTACACAATGCTAATTACACACAAACACAGATACACACATATGTATGCATGTATGATTTTGCCACTTGTTTTCCAATCGTATACATGGATGAACTTAAAGCATAATGAATGTCACTGTGAATTAAACCAACACTGATAGGCTTTTGTTGATTCATGTGTTTCTATTGTTTGGGTGATGAAGCATATAATCATGTTCCCTCCTTTGATTTAACTCTAAACTCATCCGTACCATTGTAACTGTCCACTGTCACAACAGAAACCATTGTGGGTTCAGCGAAGCGGATGATGAACTCCTGAGGAAACATCCCGGTGGACATCCAAAATGTGTTTGTGTTTCTGGGTAAAACAAATATCAAAAATGTTAGCACTGATGCAAAGTGCCCCCAAAGTACTCAACAATGCAAACACGTGATTTATATCTTGGTTTCAGAAGATTAAATGGTGTTTAATGGTGTGTGTAAGATAATTAGAAAACATTTTTTAAAATGTTTATACAAAATCAAAGCATGTGAAGGAAACAGGAGCTATATTATTTTTTAAACATCCACATCTGCAAGCCTTACCATCTGCAAGCCTTACCATCTGCAAGCCTTACCGGGTGGCCGAGTGGTTTAAGACTCCAGACGCAAGGTATCTACTTTCCTGTAAATGGGATTTCTGATCTCCAGTTGGAGGCGTAGGTTCGAATCCCACTTATCACAAGACATTTTGCATTGGTTTTTCAGCAATAGATTATTGCCTGCCACAGGGAAGGCCCAGGTTTGATTCCCAGTCAATGCAAGTACTTTTTTAGTGGTTCTATAGTTAAAGCAGTTATGACTGCTTACAAATCTGCCCTACACACAGAAGGTTCTGGCGTCCAGCCCCAGACGAACCACATACTTGGCGCCTTGAAGGGGTAGCCTATCCCAGCAGATCTACTGCTGAGACAACAATTCAAATTATTATTATTAATAATAAGAATATAAGGTCCCTTCAGAGTTTACTACCTGTTGGCATTTATAAAATACAAAGAAAATCATATGTTTTATCCATGGATTGAGATGTACAGAGTTCATTGAATAAATCTAAAATGAGAAAGTCATATTTGTGAAATCTATTTTTGCAAAATCAGAAATATAACTTTAAATAAATATTTTAATAATGATTTACATGGATATTTTATCACCTGTGCTAGAATTGGAAAGAAATTATGCAATGTACAAAAAGTTTAAATTTGTGGACTATTCCTGTAATTTCAGTTTGAATTTAGATTTTAAGTATTTTTAGTTCAAGGTGGAAAAAATTTGAAAAGGACACTATTTATGGAAAGAGGTTGAAGGAAATATGTGTGCCAAGGAGTATTAGGTAGGTAGAGATGTAATGCTTAATGGACTGGGGCATTTAAAGTGGAAGACCTGGGATCAGCCATCTACAGTAGAACACAAAGGAGAATGAGAGGAGACAGGCAGGGTGGAGTGGGTGAAGGCAAGTGTCGGGTGGGATGTGTGAGAGACAGATAGCAGGAGAATTGATATAGATGGTTTACAAGACAGTAGTGAGACCTATTTTTAAGTATGGTAGCATCTAGATAACAGGAGGTTAAGTTAGTATTTGAAAAATTAATGATACTCTGGTTTTTGCCAGGAAAGACGATTAGAGTTTAGAAATACACATACAATAGGGACAGACAAATAATGAGCAGTTTGAAAGAAGTTTTAAAGACATGGAGGAGACAATAAATCCTCAACCGATACAAAAGATAGGGTGAAATGGGCGTATATGATTTATTGTAACAGATAAACAGGATAGCTATCAGAACACGATGACATGGATAACAGGGGGAAACGGAATACATCATCAACTAGTTAGTAGATTGGCAGGAAGAACATTAAAACGTTACAACCGTGCCTATGTAAAACATTTAATAGAAAATAGAGTAAAGGGGGGGAAGTAAACATACCCGTCGATTATGTTTTCTGGTGGGTGGTTTTCATCACTGGACGCAGCGACTACAACCTTTGCACCCAAAGAACTCAGTGAGATGTCGGACATGATTATCGGGACACTCTCTGATTAAAAAGTACAATTTATTTAATAATAAAACAACAGCAATTGTGCCGTTTAGCTTCAGGCTTGACAAGCGACCGTCGTTGCCAAGCAAACTAAAAACTCCGTCGCAAGCTATTTACGTCACTACCGCCTCAAACCTCTTGAGCCTCGACGCACGTTGTACCTTCGTTGTTAGCTGTTAGTATTTAGCAGTTGTTTTCTCATGGCGAATGACTATAACAACGCGTTATTTACTCGTGGAGCTAACCAGGTTTGTAATGTAGAGACTAATGCACTAAGAACAACAACGATTCTTCCTTTATTCGGTTTTAGTCGTAAAGATTACAGAGAAGGGAGTAGTAGAGCTAAGCTATGCTACAAAGAGTTTGGATCAGTTTTAAGACAAAGGAGTGCATAGTGAAAAATTAGTAGCTATTTCGTCTTTTATATTTAATTGTGTTTGTATTATCACTTGTGTTGCTGCATTATTATAATACGCCGCAAATAAAAGTTAAAATACTTGAAAAGCGCAGATAGGTTTAAACACATCTTGTAGTATTGGTTGGAGGAAACGGATGAACATGTCAAGTCAGATAACTGCTAAATACGTTGCCAACATGTCTTTTGAGTCTAATGTCCTTTTGTCAATCTGTTGTATCCAGAAATAAAAAAAATAATGCACTGGTTTTAAAGTCTCCTGTCAGACATGCAGTTTAAAACAAACCCACAAAAATCCTGACTTAATTACTATACAACATTGGTTCTTTGAACTAAAAACAATGATCTTTAGCAGTAGACCTTTGGCCTTAAAAAATATTTTATTTGTTAAAGAAAGTGGGCTGGAATAATTTGGAGTGTTGCCTGAGAATCATTGACACTTACCACCAATGCCTGAATTCTGTTTTTTGGCTAAAGGAGGTCATAATTGACCATAATTCTATTATTTTTCTTTTACAGAGTGATGATTCTGACATTTGGGATGACACAGCACTGATAAAGGCCTATGACAAGGCAGTAGCATCATTCAAGGTAAAATTGATAGTTATGTTTGGTTATATGGACAATAGTGGCTTGGTGGTTAAGGTAAGGAAGGTTGTAAGTTCGAATCCACCAGGTCCCACTGAGGTGCAGTGAGCATGGCAGTTTCCACATGTACTGCTCCACGAGTGCTTACCATGAGCTGTCCCCCTGCTCACTGTTTTGATGGGTCAAAAGCAGAGGGCAAATTTAATTGTGTGCTGTGTTTTGCTTTGCATCAATGACAAATTACGTTCACAAAATTTTACATGTTAACATGAGTGACTACTTTACCTGTTCTTTTCTGCTGATTTTTTGCAGACTGCACTTAAAGGAGATGAAGTTCCACAGCCTTCAAAGAAAGAGCAACCCAAAAAAAAACGCAAAAGCAACAAAAAGAACCAAAGCAGAAAGAAAAACAGTGCACCAACAGATGGACAGGTGTGTTAATATTTACTTTAATATACTCCATACCTTTCACTGAGACGACTGACTATGATGTAACTGTACAGAATAATCATGATTCTGTACACACCTCGATCACAGTTTGGAGTATTTTCTGTACAAAATAAATGTTTGGTGGCATCTGTTAACTAATAATATGTAAAATATTGAGGTTCCCTAATTTCATAAATAAATATAAAAATTGGATTTGTTTGTATTAGGTTGGTATTGATATACATATGTTACAGCCACTAACTATTATTAACTTTAATTAATATTATATTATAATATTAATAATAATATTAAAATTAATAAATATTATTATTATTAACTGGCCACTGAATTAAGTGCTTTTCATGCTTTAACTTTGATTGCAATTTGTGCTCTGACAGTGGCAGGTTGGCGACTCGTGCTGTGCTTATTGGGCACAGGATGGCCAACTCTACCCAGCAACAATCTCCTCTATAGACAAACTGAGAGGCACCTGTTTGGTGGTTTATAAAGACTATGGGAATGAGGAGGAGCAGAAACTTGGAGACCTCCTCCAAAGACTTTCTGAAGGAGAGGAAGAAACAAATGTTCAGGTAAAAAATATATTTTATTCGCTGTACTTGGTGAAAAAATTAAAACATCACCTGTGTGAAAATGCAGTTACAATTTTTATATTACATTTTATTCTATATGAGGACTTGCATGTGTATTCTGGAGTATGTGTTTAAAAAGTCAAGAGACAGCTTGTGGTGAAAGCAGACAGAGTTCACTGTTTTGACATTGGAACCATGCAGAGGCAGAGCTCTTTAATCATTTAAAAAAGACCAAGAGCAACTATGACCGACAAATACAAAGTCAGAAAAGGCATTGAAGCAAAACCACATTGATATGTTGCACATCAATCACTAATATAAGGTGTATTCTATACTACAGCAGCGGTACTACCAGAGTTGTAATGGACCAGTTTCCACGACCTTTGATTGAGTTACTGACAAGAACTTATTCAGTGTAGTTTGTTAAAATGTTGAACTTATTTCTTACCATTATAATTCAAATGTACAAACACAACTGTAGTAAAGAACACTTCAATAGAGCACAGCGGGTTAGTACTGGTGTATGGCGTGAATACCTGTCTGTCTTCTACAGCAGTTTCAAGTCATCCTGGGAAAATCTTGGAAAACCCTTTCTAGAAAATAGGAGGGTCCATATTTATGGTTGTCTTTAAAACTTGAAGTTGCAGAAATTATTAAAGTTTATATTGAATTGGAAAATGTCATACAAATGTTGAGTAAAAATTGTTTTTATTCTGGTCACAATACGTCTCAGCATTCTTATCAGCGGGTCATCATGAACAAAAGGTCATAGTTAATAAGTTAAAGTAAACATGTGAAAATATTTTTTTTAAATAAACAAATATGACATTTCCAGAGAACACCACACAATTGCGGTAGTTTGAACCCTCCTCTGTAAATCGTCAACAAGTGTGTCTCTCCACAGTAAACCAGAGAGGTCTGCTTGACTCTGATGTTACCTGGATCCATTATACTGTAGCTCAGTGTTAACTTGTAACAGTGTCAAAATAATCAGCAATTGACTAGACTATAAAAAATTACTAATAAATTATTTCAAAACAAAATAAATCTACCACCAATACAACAATTCAGAGGCACAGTGAGAGGAATAAACAGAGCTTTAAACACTGGGTTCAATTTGTCCTTATCAGCTGATGTTTTCCTATATCAGGTTTTAGTATCTGAGACAGAAAATTACTTCTTCTTTTCTCGAACTTCAGCAACACATTGTTATTTCAGTAAACTGTCAATTTATTGGTAAACCATTTTATCAGTGATACAGTTCAGATAGGGGGGAAAATCCAAATTTTGTTCCCTGCCCTGCTGAAGCTCGCAGCGATGCAGTGATTTATGGAGCAAAGGACAACTTAGTACAAGCACAGAGAGACACAGTTTATTCTATTAAGAATAAGAAATACAAGAAAACTTAGCTAAAGTTTTACACTTTTCTCCTGAGTGCGCAGCAGGAAAACCCTTTTTAATTAGGGTTAGGGTTAGAAAGTGTATGGTTCTAGGATGAAATCTTTTATATTCACACTATATTTGATTTGTGTCTATGATTAGCATAAGATACATATTTATCTTATCATTTTGTGACTACAAAATGGCCTGAACTCCACTGTTCTGGACTGTATACTCCTTTTCATAGTCCTGTAGCAGTGGCAGTTTCGAGCCCTGGCCCCCTTCTATTCCGTTCATTCCCTGTGGTATAAACACACAGGTACTGGTACTATACTGGAACTGAATCTTGTCGTTAGTGCACCTTTTGCAGTTAAAAAAAACTCTGCAGAATTCATGTTGCCACTGTAAGTATCTTGAGCATCAGCATTCTGCAGTTAAAAGTTGTTTTTTTATGCCAAGACCCCCTGGGGTCAGCTGTTACAAAAAGGGCTGCAGTCCATGCAGAACATTATTCTTGCATTTTTATTCTTGCTTTGTTTTTTATGGTTATATAATGCAATGTATATACCTTATTTTCCTGACCATAAGGCGCGCTGCATTTAAGGCGCACTATCAATGAACTGGAATATTTTCATACATAAGTCGCATTAAGCGAAACAATTAAGCGGAACAATCAAGCATGCCCGGATCCCTCTCGTCATTAGCCGAGCCAGTCTAGTTGCTGTTAATTGGTTGTTCCCTGATTATTCCGGCCTTCGTGAAAGCTCGGACGACATTTCAGACCGATACCTTAGCCCAGGCATCCACGATCCATTGGCTGATAGTGGCGTAACTCGCCCGGCGTTGCCTCCCTGTCTTGGTGAATGTGTGTTCGCCTTTTGTCTTCCAGTGCTCCAACGCAGATTTAAACGACCGTTAAACCCAATATTTAGCGGTTGGAATTCTTTGGTCAATCCACCCGAAATGATGGCATGCCCAGAAGTAATTTGCTTCACTTGAGTTTTGGCAATATCGGTGAGATGGGCGCGCATAGGGTCACCGATCAATAGGGACGGAGAATTGTGGAAAAGGGTAGTGAACTAAGTTGGACACTGGAGGACGCTGTTGTTGTTGGTCGCTCCTCCAGAGTCAGGCGGTTGTCACTATTTTTGTTCTGGTTGGTCACCGTGTTGTTTTTTCGACGCTGTTCCGTGCGGAAGTGCAGATGTTGTTTTGCAGAGAGAGAGTGTGTTTTTCCTGCATCTTTAAAAAAATGAGAAATAAAGAGTTCTTGACCACGAAATAAATCGACTGCCTGCGTCTGAGTCGTCCTGTATCGCGCCATACATCGACAATACAAAAACACAACGCAGAATCTCCGGGTGTTTGGAGGCTCGACGCAACGTTGCACGTATTTGGGTTACACATCCATACTGTAACAATTGTTGTTGAGCATCTTCTAATTGTGAAAACAGAGTTAAACGTCATTGTTGGCTCCCAGTGTGCTTCAGTTGTGTGACATCATGTTTGATGCGCTGTGTGGTTTGGCTTTACAAAATCGGTTCGAGCTCAGCGCAACCAGAAGTAATACATAAGGCGCACTGGGTTATAAGGCGCACTGTTGCTTTTTTCGAGAAAATTAAAGGCTTTTGAGTGCGCTTTATAGTGGGGAAAATACGGTATTTAAGAAATATATGAAAGAAACGTTTCTTCTTCTGTAGCAGTTTCCTCTCCCTGTTCTTCAGAGCACGATGCCCCATCTGCAGCTCACGTTATTTTTCAGATGGATTATTAAATAAAAAAGTTAGAAAGTGCTGATTGCCCACATAGATGAATACAGTCCTCTGAGGCTTGCTGTGATACAAGTCTGGTACAAATCCAGTTTTAGATACAAAACATGTTGTTGCTAATGTTGTGCTGCTTTCTCTGCAATTAAGGTAAATGAAGCAGAGTCATCCACAGAAGAGAGTGAGGCATCGTCTACAGTCAACCACCACAAACAGCAGCCTCGCAGTAAAGCTCAGAAATCCAGGGCTCAAAAGGAGGATCCATTTACTTTTCCTCTACAGCCACCTCCTCCGATGTGGGGTTCTGGGTTCTCGGGGTCCTTTCCAGGCCCACCACCCATGTATGGCATGAAACAGGTAAGAACAAAGTAATCATATTTTCAACATTTGAGTTATTTATATATGTTAATATGTTTGCTAGGGATCTAAAAGTCTAGTCTCCATATTTTTCTATTAATTCTCAATACTGCGCGTGTGTGTGTATCTGCTATGAAATAGAAACATAATTTTAACATTTCATTTCAACTTTTTATTTTAAAGAATGCACATGGAATTAATAATAGAGCAATAAAGACCTAACACACATAGGGTAAAACCTCTAAAAGACTGCACTCATAAGTGATTTTATTTTAACAAATATAACAGGAAAAGTCTTAAACTGTGCTGCTGTCTCGGGCCAGACTTGCGCTGATGCTCTACTTTCCCTCACATGAGACGAGTGGCTGATTTAAATCATTTTGGTGAGATCCATATATATCATATGGCAGTGATAATCAACTGCCAGGCTGTGAGCCCAATCTCGCCAACCGAAGTGCCCAATCCAGTCTGCAACTGGATTCCAAAATGAACATCAAAAAATAATGTTTATATGATTTTTATTTCATTTTATTTGGGTGTCTGGTCCCCAAAATGTCTGTCCAAAATATTCTGGCCCTCTGATTCCAGCCATATAGTCTCAGACGATATCATGTATTAAATATAACAATACATCTTAAATATGTTAAATATCTCATCTTAAATACTTTATATATCACCCACCTCAATACACCCTCCCCCTCTGTATGTAGGACCATTGTCCATTTCCACTGAAATCTCTGCTGTATTTTCAATTTTTAATCCCCCAAAACAGTATTTGTATTGAAAAAAGGAAATTTGTCATTGGTACATTTCCCTCCTCTGCCGTACACACAAGAAATGTATAAAAATCATATTAAATTGATCTAGCAATTAAACCGTGTCCTGAGGGGGTCCCGCCCCAATTTTTGGGAACTACTGAAGTAGAGTGTTTAAGTTTAATTTTGAATATTTGAGAGGTTTTGTTGAATATTGTTGAATCGTTTTTTGTTTTTTGTTTTTTAGAAAGGAAGCAGACATTCTGCTGCACATGGCCCCGTTCCTCCGTGGCCTCCCATGATGAATTTCGGTCCACCAGTGGGTTGGAAATACATCTTGTATACACTCTTTGATACTATAACAGATTGTCTCTGGCCCTGTGTGTTTTTGCGTCATTCTGCTGCTGAGATGAAAAACAAACTGTTCATGTGTGTGTTTGCCATTTGTCATCTCCCATCATTTACATTCTCATCACACTCCCTCAGATGATTCCTCCTCCTCCTCCACCAATGAACCCTGATGTGGGGGATGACGAGGCCTTGGGCAGCATGCTCATCTCCTGGTACATGAGTGGATATCACACAGGATATTACCTGGTATGTACACCGAGGCTAACTGGGTAAATAAATGAATATATTGTGATTTGCCAGACTGATGAATGAAGATTTTTCTCAGTTACTGACACTTTATCTTGTGATGATGCATCATCCCTGTTGTTATGCTAATGAGGTAATAGCTTATTAGAAGAAACTTTATTTAAAGTATGGCTGTACTTAGTTCACTAATTGTTTTGGTGAGCAATCTCTTCTTTGATTTTCTGACTTTTGAGGTAGAGTTGAGTTTGAGTGAATGATAAGTTGAATAACTGAAAAAGTGATTAAGTAGTTTAGAAAATAATTATAAATCTTATCCCTAGTTTCCGTGTTGCTTGTTCTCTGCACAATATTTTAGAACAATAGGAAAGCAAGTTCTTTTTTGTGTGACAAAAGTCACAGTAGAGAAGATGTCAACTGCCTACTCTTTTAGTCCCTTCAGTTTTTTTGTTACAATATTGCTTTGAGGAGAAGTTTTCCAAATTTGATTTACATCAGAAAATAAGTAGAAATTACACAATAAAAACAACACAAATAAAGCAGGAAGTCAGAAATGTGCCTGACCGACTGCTCTTTGAAAACTGAAAGAAAATTGTGAAAATATTCTGACTTCAAAACAAAATTCTTACTTTTGAATTTTGTCTTTTTCATGTTTTTAAAGAATCATGCTGAAATATTCTCTTTTTTTTTAACAGGGGTTGAAACAAGCTCGCAAAGACACTGACAACTGAACAAAACTGCACCACAAGTAAAATAGTTCTTTCTAACGCTCATTGCAATGTGATTTATAATGTTCTGGGTCTGAGGACAACACTTTTGTATGCTTTTGTAAATAGAATAAATAAAGGTTATCAGAGCAACATTATTACCGGTAAGTGGTTTCTTTGATTTTCTTTGTGCTGTTGTTTTCACGTCAGCTATGATTTTAAAAAAGAGTGTGTTAAATTGCAGGGGATTGTAAGGAATTAGTTGGCCTTGGATTATTTATGCATTTCAATTGTTGCAATTTCATGTAATGTCCAGTAGAAGTCAGACTTGTATAATGTATTTTTCCCATAGGAGAGTACATGGCTAGAAAACACAGCATGTTTGAACGTAAACTGAATTCCTACAGAGCTCTTTTCTATCAGTGGACATGTTCTACAGTAGTGTCTCCTAGAGAACTTAACTGGTCATCAGACTGCAGTGCTGTTTTGGTCCCTGAGGTGTTCCCATACAGTTGATTCACAGCATCAGTCAGAATAAGCCCTGGATTCCAGCCCTCTGTTTTTCCCTGTGGTGTTTTTCTCAGCTACAGCCAAATATAGGCTTGGATCCATCATAACATTTTTTAGCTCACATCTGAGCGAATATTCCAGCATGATGACAGACAAGATTTTAGCAACAGACGTTATAATATTATGGCCAGCGGTGCAGGCGAAGACAAATCATAGGCGAACATCGCTATGATGATCGAGGTCATTAAAAAACATTTAGTTTTATATAATTAAAAACTCGACGTTCCAGAAATTACAGTTTAGCTTGCGATCAAGTTGACAACTTGTGACTTTGAGAAAATTATGACTAACTGTCATATTATGCGTTCTACATGTAAGAACTACGCTGTGAAAGCTTTATGGTCAAATTGTAATAACAGACTCAGTAAATGGAGAAAACTCACTCACCAAAAAGATAAGAACATCAAACTATTTTAATTTGATAAGAACTTGATTAAAAACAAATGAGAGATTTTCTTTTTCCAATCTGCAAAATACGTAGAGGAGAGTATATTCAAGCAGAAAATGTTTAGTGCATATTGACTCAAAAAAGTTAAAAGTCTGGAAGGAACTTCAGCTCAGTCTGAAAAAAACCCCTCAAGAGCTCAGCTGCAAAACTGTCTTCCAACATGAGAACGTGGAACATACTCTTAAACCAGTGAAGCAGTATGTTAAAGGTGCTTCACTGAATAAACTGAATATGTACGTTCCATACCAGAGGACCATGATATACTGTATGAAGGAGCTCCAGTGATTTGCCAAAGAAGAAATCCATTAGGAACATGTTGAAACCTGTCTCAAGTATTAAAATATATTTTATTTTAAATTCAAGTTAAATCTAACAAACATAAAATATCATCATCTGCATTATGCATGTACAACAGTGATCATCATCTGGCCCACAGGCCGATTCCGGTCCACCAAACTGTCCTAACAGGCCTGTGACATGATTCCAAATTATGATTTATGATAAAAATATTTATCTTTCTAGAAAAAAAGAAAACCCTGGCTCTCTGACAACTATAGTTGCTGACCCCTAGATCTACAGTCAGTAGATCCCCATTGAAAGACATATTCCAATTGAGATGATGATACATATTTTTTATAAATAGAAGTTGCGCCTATATAGAAAGTATTTTTTAACTTTGCAATATTTTTAACTTAACTTCAACTCACTTCTCAAGATCTTTGTCTTCTGTGAAGTTATACAACAAAATGCTATTGTTTGTGTATTTTTCTTCTTCATAATGACGTGGCTCTAACTGTCTCTAAACCAAAACTAGGTACACCAGGGTACACAAGCCAGTGTTACTATAGTGATACTGTAGTGTCGGTCCCAAGCCCGGATAAATGGTGAGGGTTGCGTCAGGAAGGGCATCCATGTAAAACTTTTAGCCAAATCAAATATGAAAATCACTAAAACAATTTCCATACCGGTTCGGTCAAGACCCAGGTTAACAACGACCACCAACGGTGCTGTTGACCAACAGGGCACTGATGGAAATTGGACTACTGTTGGTCAAAGACAAAGAAGAAGAGGAGGGCGATTCATTCGGACAGTAAGAGAAAAGAGGAAGGATAGAAGTGTTGGTCTTAAGTTTGGAACTCTAAATGTAGGTACAATTACAGGGAAAAGTAGAGAACTGGCTAATATGATGGAGAAAAGAAGAGTAGACATCTTGTGTGTCCAGGAGACCAGGTGGAAGGGCAGTAAGGCTAGAAACATTGGAGAAGGCTACAAACTGTTTTATCGTGGTTCAGATGGGAAGAGAAATGGGGTAGGGGTGATCCTAAAGGAAGAATATGTAAGAAATGCGGTGGAGGAGAAACGAGAGTCAGACAGGTTGATGTGTGTGAAGGTAGAAATAGAAGGAGTGATGATTAATGTTGTTAGTGGTTATGCCCCACAGGTGGGCTGTGAGTTAGAAGAAAAGGATAAGTTCTGGAAAGAGCAGGACAGAACAGCAGAGAACAGACTGGAGTACAAAGAGAGGACAAGGGAGGTGAAGAGGGAAGTGGCCAAGGCCAAACAAAAGGCATATGAGGAGTTGTATGAGAGTTTGGACACAAAGGAAGGAGAAAAGGAGTTGTATAGATTGGCAAGACAGAGAAATCAAGCTGGGAAGGATGAGCAGCAGGTGAGGTTGATTAAGGACAGACATGGGAATGTAATCACAAGTGAGGAAAGTGTGCTGAGAAGATGGAAGGAATACTTTGAGGAGTTGTTGAATGAGGAAAATGAAAGGTAAAATAGAAATGAGGAACCAGAGACTATTAGGAAGAAAATAGATCACGTTAGAAAGGATGAAGTAAAGTGATGTTGTAACAACTACAGAGAGATAAAGTTGATGAGTCACACAATGAAGATTTGAGAAAGAGTAGTTGAAGCTAGGTTGAGGCAGGAAGTGGAGATTTGTGAACAACAGTAAGGTTTCATACCTAGGAAGAGTACCACAGATGCAATATTTGCCTTGAGGATGCTGATGGAGAAGTACAGAGAAGGCCGGAATTGTTTATTTGTAGATTTAGAAAAGCTATATGACAAAGTGCCAAGGGAGGAATTGTGGTTTTGTATGAGGAAGTCAGGAGTGGCAGAGAAGTATGTTAGTTTGGTGCAGGACATGTATGAGAATAGTACAACAGTGGATACATTGGTAGAAGAATGTTAAAGATATCTATGAAGATTCTCAGTCATCCAGGTCATGGTCAAGTTCTGTTAGGCAACTTAACGTGAATTTTCTAAAAGAAGACGTTTCACCTCTCATCCAAGAGGCTTCTTCAGTTCTAACTGGTGGTGGGGAGTACAGTGCAATGCTAGAGATGGAGCTACCAGGTAGGAGACAAAGAGGAAGGCCAAAGAGGAGATATATGGATGCAGTGAGGGAGGACATGCAGATAGTTGGAGTCAGAGTAGAAGATACAGAGAACAGGGTAATATGGAAAGCAATGATTCGCTGTGGCAACGTCTGAAAAAAGGGACAAATTTGAAAGAAAAAGAAGAAGAAGCTCTTATTGTCTCTGCTTATGACCTTGAATCAAACTTTGTTCCTGACAAACAAACTAAAGCTTTTGTGAATATAAAAAAAACCTTGAAAACTTGTAAAGTCAGACAACAATTTAAAACGTTTCAGTGGCAGAACACAAGGTTAATTACATTACTGGATCTCATTAATTGTTGATTTCTTTATTCCTGACTTATCCTTCAACAAAGGATCTCGGAATGCGTTATGGTTGAGTAATGTAAAAACAGTGAGGTTAAGGGCTGTAAGTTACGGTGAGATTATATTTAGAGTATAGAAAAAACACATGTAATTACAGTTAGAGCGGCTGCAATCATCCCTGTGAGCCTCCAGCTAGTTTATTCCATGAAAAGAAAGCTAAACACTCTTCCTGTATTTTTAAAACTCGGTGGTTTTTCTCTCTGCTTACACCCACCATTCCAGCTCTAAGCTGGTGGGCAATTAACCCTGCGCTAATGTGCATGTGCATGCACGTGTGTGTGTTCAAACTAGACTATGCTTCTGTGGTGCGATGGACAACATGACTTTTTTTTACAGCTTGTGATCCTCCTGCAGCTGCCATGGCCTCCTCGAGAAAATTGCTCTCTTTATTTGTGCACCAACTGTGGTCCACATTTCATGACCCTGTGTGACTGTTGCCAGTGTTGACTGTTGCTGCTGCAGTCACTCTTTCTTTTTCTTTTTTTTTTTTTGCTTTACGTGTTTTGTGTAGAGAGGAGCAGGACTATATGTGGGCTTTACAAACAGAATTTGAATGAGAGGTGATAAGCCAGACCTATCTGTTTCCCACAGATGGACTTTAAATTTGCTACACTGAAGTCTGCACATAAGCTCCGATGCCTGTCAGACTCTGGGAGCAAAATGAGCTGCCCAAAGGGCCCAGTCAGAATAGAACTAGGGATCAGATCCTGCTTGGGATAAGCATTGCCCCTCTCTGTACCCCCCACTGACCAGAGAGGCTTGCAAACATCATCTGCATTTACACAGTCCCTTCTCTGCTAGAGCGAGATCACATTGCTGCATGAATTACAGCGCCTTCAGTTATTTACTCAGACTCTCCACATCAACAAACATCCTGCTTTTAAATCAGAGACTGAGGGGAAGATTAAAAAAAATCAGAGGTTGATGCATTTTCCTTCTTGTCCACAGAGACCAGGCACAAACACTTGGTGCACAACTACAATCATCACCATTACGTTTGGTGCAAACACCATTAAATCCAAACTGATTGGGGTTTTTCAAACACAACAAAAATCTGTATTCAGAAGAAATTCTGAGAGATTAATCCATGATTAAACATCAGATTATAGTGTAGGTGAGAGTTAGCAGAAGGAAGCACAACTGTGCACCAAACTGTTGACTGTGTTTCTTCGAAAACAAAAGCCTGTAAAAGTGACAATAAATTTAGATTTTATGGCAGACGACAGATTGCTGCTTTAGTACTGTTTACAATTCAG